GTGAGGACGTGGAGATGTTGCTGCGGGTGCTGCCCGTGCTGGAGGCCGAGAGGCGCTTGGCGTCGGCGCCCTTGACCTCACGGTCCACTTGCGGTGGGACGTCGTAGATGTACTCGCCCTCTGTGTCCAGGGAGCCCTTGCCCAGGGCGTGCAGGTCCCGTGGCACATCGTACACCTCCTGGGAGGGGAAGGCTGACCCCCCCAGCTTCCTGAGGCTGGGGGGCACGTCGTAGATCTCGTGGGAGAGCGGTGGCTCGGAGGCACCTTTCCCAGCTGCCGGCGGCACGTCGTAGACATCCTCTGGCAAGTAGGGCTCCTGCTGGGCCAGGATGAGGGGGTGGCGGGAAGGGTCGAAGGCTTTCTGCTTGGCGAAGGCGGGGGGCACGTCGTAGGTCTCCTCCCGCACCGGGCCATCCGGCACGTCCTTGCTCACCGAGGGGGGGACGTCGTACACCTGCGAGGGCAACAGCAGGCACCGTCAGCATCGCCGGGAGAGCCAGCCCAGATCACACGTGGAGGCACAGGGGGGGCTGCGCACGTGAAGTGCCAGCCCTGAGTGCACGAGATGGGGCTGGGTGCGCACCAGGACTGAGACAGGCACCCCACGGGCACCCCTGTTCCCGGGGAGGCTGGCACAGCCCTGCTGCAGCACTCCCAGCCTCCTCCGTCCTCTAGGATCACAAAACCCTAGAGCAGCCCAGGCTGGAAGGGACCTCGAAAGACCATCTGGTCCAACCTCATCCCCTAGATGAGATCATCTAGCACCCTGTCCCCTCCCATCTCCAAAGCCTCCAGTGCCAGAGATGCCAGCACATCCCTGCAGAGGTTGTTCCAGTAAATGATTGTTTCCACTGTAAAACATGTCCTCACACAAAGAAGCTGAGACTTTCCCAGCAGCACTTACAGTTTGGTGCAGGTTCTTCTCCACGCTGGGGGGCACATCGTAGATCTCTTGCCCTGGGTCCTGCCCGTTGGGACCCTTCACTGCCATGGGGGGAGTGTCATAGACCTGGGAGCGGGGGGACACAGGATGGTGTGTCAGCAATAGTGCGGGCACCCACCTCCTCCCAGCGACCAGCTGGGAAGGATGAAGCACCAGAAGATGCCCTGAGGCCCATAACGTGCCCAGTTTTGGGTGTAATTTGCCCAGGTTTGGATCCCAGGCTGCGCCAGAGCATCTCTCGCGCCAGGGGATGGAGCCAGCAACACCTTCCCTGCCTCACCTCCTGGCTGAACTGGCTCGGGACCCCCCCTCGGACAGGCGGCACGTCGTAGATCTCCTGGGAGCCCGTGGAGAGGAGGTGGCGAGGGAAATCGTACTCATCCTGCTCACCCTTGGGAGAGTCGTAGACGTACACTTGCCCCACGCGGGTGGGCACCAGCACCTGGTGAGAGGACAAAAGATGAGGTGGGCACCGCCGAGCACTCCCAACCTGCCCCCCATCCCACATCAGACCCCCCACCCCAAAAAAAAACCAACCCAGCAACGGGGTTGGAAAGAGGATGGATGCTGGATCCCGTACCAGACCATCCGGCACCAGGCAAACTGGTGCCCACGGGAGGGCGCTCCCCAGCCGGGTGTTCACGCTCTTCACGGCAACTCCGGGGACTGGGGGGGGGATGATATCACCGGTTATTTATAGCGGCGAGCCTCGGGTGGGCCAAACGCCCG